ACCCTGAGCCGGTGAGATTTGAACCGCTGACCTGCTGATCTAGCAGTAGCCTGCAGTGCTGCATTTAACCACTGCGCCACCTTGGCTCTTAGCAACTTTGATCATAAAGGTCATAAAACGGGGCAAAACTCACAATAAATATTTCACTTAGCAACAGAAATATTGGGTTCAATTGTGGTTTTAAGTTGAAGATCACCTATATGCATTCATGTTCTTTCAATCCAGCTTCACTGAATATATATTCACTATAAATCCAGTTCCTTTTGCTGTGTTATGTACAGACTGTGGCTTCCAGTCCAGTATATAAATTTTGCATGAGGCTAGTAACTTGTTCTAGGATTTCTAGTTTTCTCAGGAAATACCACAGTTGGATATGGTTGACACTATCAAAAGATCTTTCTATAATCAATTAAGCACATACTGACTTTTTTTATTAAAAAATCCTTTCGCTTTCTCAATTTTCTAGTGAGCATCACTAATAATCTTTCTTGGTCCTCAGATTTTTGTAAACTAGACTAATGTTCATGCAGGGCTCTAATCTGAATGATCTGAATGATCCTAAGTATTTTGTTAGCATGTGCAGTCAAGGATACTGTTTGCATGCCCTCTTAGGTCTTCTTTCTTTGATATTGGTAGAATAATCTTTTCCACTCTCTTTACCATTTTGTCTTTCTCCAGATTTGCTGGCATAATTTGGTTAGAACCTTTACAGGTTCTTCTCCTCTTCATTGCTGTTTTTATGTGGATATTCTATCAATTCTTGTAGCCCTCCCATTTGATAATACCTGTATTCAAAGTGCTGGTTTAACTACCTATTTTAGTACTAGAGATTCTTGGAATTATCTTGAAAATTTTATTTGTTGTTGATATTGCTAAATTCCTCTCGTTTTTGAATCAGTTACTTATGTACATTGACATCCTTTAATTTATGTTAATTAAATTTATGTTAATTTAAATCTCCTTCTGAATTAGGAAATATTTTGAAAAAGTTTTCTTGGGTTTCTATGCCAGCTTCTATCTTCAATGTCTTTTGCAAATATATACAGGTAGTCATCGAGTTATGAATGTGTTGGAGCCTGCCCATTCCATTCATATCTTGAGGATTCGTGGGAGTGAATCTCATACCTTGAACTAGATCACTCCCTGCTTTCCCGCATTCGCAAATTTAATGCGTGGGTGAATGTGTGCTTTGTTACGTGGACATGAGGTATCTCAAGGTAGGGAAGGCCAGGGGAGAGGTAGTGATGGAGCAGTTCCCCAAGACCTCCCCAACCCACTAAGATACCTCATACTTCTCTCTCACTGCCGCACTGGACTCACTTGCCTTGCAAAGATCTGTCTCCTCTCTGACACGGCTTCTTTCTCTTTGAGGAAGAGGAGATCTCCAGGGCACAGAAAGTGTTTTGCCGCACTTGTCTCCCACACCTTCCCCATCCCTGAATTCCTTTCCACCCCCACTGGGATAATTTTTGCCCAGATGGAGACCTGACGAAGAGTGGAAGCTTCATCTGTGTGCAAATGGGGCCTTCGAAAATAGAGGGATGTGCTCCATTTTGAAATGCCCCATAAGTACCTATGAGGCCTTTGAAAATGGAGGGATTCACTCTGTTTTGAAATGCCACTTAGGCACCTATGAGGCCTTTAAAAATGGAGGGATTTGCTCCATTTTCAAAGGCCTCATAGGGGCCTTGGGGGCATTTCAAAATGGAGTTAATCCCTCTGTTTTCAAAGGCTCCATTTGCACGTAGATGAAGCTTCCAGTCTCCATCAGGTTTCCGTCTGAGTAAAAAGTGTCCCAGTGGTGGCAGCAAGGTGTTGGGAGGAGGAGCAGGAAACAGGCACCACAAACTCTTTTCACGCAGAGAATGAAAGTTTTGGGGGTCCATGATCTCATGAGAGATCAGGCACCTAGTCTCTGCAAAACAGGACGAGTGCCTGAATTTGTGCAATATTATGGCGCCCAGGAACTTCCATCAACTCTCATCTCCCTTAAAAGCAAAGAAACTGTGGCAAAGAGGAGACAGATCTTGTAGAGTAAATGAGACCAGCAAGGCAGATGAGAGGGGAAGTGCTTGTAAACACTAGGAGGTGCTTATCTCATAAATTCAAACAGGCGCTAAATGAATGCTCGTAATCTGGTGATTAGCTGTAATGACAAATTCTGTTTTGTTTAAACAGATTTTTTTCTTGTCTCTTTAACAGTTCTCTGAATATCGTTGTTCCTTCCTAAAATATTTAGCTTTCTTGGCTTTGCTTTTTTGCAATTTTCATCCTTTGTTCTGAAACCCAATTTGTTTTCTTCTGTTTCTTCATCTTTGGCAATCTCTTTTTATATAATCCTTTTTTAAGTTTATTCCACAGTTCTCTAGCTATTTTATCTATGAGGATTAGGATTTCCAATGTTTTCTTTAATGGGTAGGGATATTTTCAAGATTATATTATGGAAAGTGTCTGGCTTTGTTTTTCTAATTGGCTTGGAATTTCACAATATTGGTTGGTTGAAGACTGGGCTAGCAATGAAGATATTATAGAATTGGTAGACAGAGATTAGTCACTTTCCTGCTTAATTTTTGTTTCCTAGATTATACAAACCAACTGTGGTTTTTTCCTACTATCTGCAACTTCCAACCACAGTCAGCACATCAACCTTGCATGTTCTATAAATTTCTATACATTTCAAATTAAACTTAACCATAAAACTTTTTCCCTCCTCCTCCTCCTCCTCCTCCTCTGATTGGAGCATGAACTAAGCATAACAGTAAAGTGTTGTCCATGATGTCCTATTAAATTTACATGATTATTATTTTGTTCCAAAGTACAGGTAGTCCTCAACTAACAACCGGTCACTTAATGACCATTCAAAGCTCTGACACACCTTTCGGGGGGGGGGGGGGGGGTTACTTATAATCTAGATTCGAGATTCCAACAATCAGGCCCTTCTTCAGTCATAATTAGAGGACTGCCTGTACTATTCCTTTCTATAAAAGCAAGGACATTCCTTCTTTGCTTTTCATGTCCTGAATAGTTAATAGCATGATCTTCTGATTCTCCAATCCATTTCAATTTACTGATGCCTAGTATGTTATTTATATACTTCATTTCATATCTCTGTATCAAACTTTTCCATGTTCATGATTTTTGCATTCCATATTCCCATTGTCAATTCTTCTTTGCAGCCTCAGATCTTTTTTTCCTGCATGACAACATCAGCAACTAAACATCTGGAAGGCCACTTCCAATCTAACACCATGATAAACTTCATTAGTGTTCAGAAATATCACTTGTATGCCAGGTACAATTTGACCTGGGTGTTCATCATCCAGGCACTATGTCATCAATCACTTCTATCTTATTTATCCATGTTGTTTTTCCTAGTAAAATGCAGAAGTGGCTGACCACTGCCTTCTCTAACACAGCTTAAAATGATGCCCTTCCTGTTGTGGTTAAGGTGATCACCCATCTCCATCATCTTCCTGTATCACTGCTGCTGAATTTAGGTGCCTGCTCTCTTTAGTTGGGTAGCTGGAGTGACCTTAGGTGACCCTAATGAAAGAATACACTTGGCATACATTCCCTCCAAAGAACACCACTTACCCTGCTATAATGAGGCAGGATTCAAGGATATCTACTATTAGAAAGAGGATAAATCTAGTTCTAGATAACTTTTACATAACCTTAATATTCCACTCTCCCAATCAAGCAAATTCAGATAAAAACTTTTAACTCCCATTTTGATTTCCATCTGAAAAACAAAAGACCAATATGCTAAAAATCTGTCAATTAAATGTTGCAATATGGGAGAGTCAGCTGTGCTCTGTTCTCCTCAAGAATTATGTAATTATTTCTTCTCCTTCTCATGCTGATGGATTTTTTTTTTCAGTTGACTTTGTCATGTAATTACTGAGCGTGCTGGTTCCTCATTTGCTGTTCTTCTCCTTTTCCTCTTCTTTAAGATTAATGTTTCTGAACTGCTTGAATTCTTCTGCAAATGTCAGTTTTTCTGTGTCTGGTGCTACATCTCTGTTTTGCCTTTGGCGATTCCCATATTGGATACAAAAAGATTGGCACTCAGAATGAGTTTGTTATTGGTGTATTTACTTAATTTATAATTACATTTTTTTCTCTAGACCAGTGTTTCTCACCCTTGACAATTTTAAGCTATGTGAACTTCAATTCCCAGAACACCCTACCTAGTCCATATGGACTTGAACTCCCAGAATACACCACCTAGCAGTTATGGACTTGAACTCCCAGAATGCTCCACCTAGCACATGCAGACTTCATCCAGGAGTTGAAGTCCACAAATCTTAAAGTTGCCAAGCTTGAGTGATGCTGCATTAGACAATCAAGGTAGACTACAAGGCAACTGGGGGAGGGCAGAGAGAACCTTTGTGAGATAGGTTGGCTAGGAGAGAATGTCTACTCCAAAATCACTCAAGGATCTGAATTTAAATCCCCCAATTCTGTTTTGGTACCAAATTAGTCCTCTCTATTTAAGAATGATAAACAAATAAATAAGGACAATAACTAGATAAAATAATACTGTAGATAAAGACATTGGTTCAAGTCATTATAAAATGCTTACCCTTTTGTTCTCTTCTTCTTTTCTTGCTATATCCCAGGCCCAATACTATGGTGAAATCTGTCTTGGAACCCCCAAACAATGCTTCAACGTCGTCTTTGATACTGGCTCATCCAACCTGTGGGTGCCCTCTTCCAAATGTTGCCTGATACATTTGGCATGCTGTAAGACATCATACCCTCAACTGATTCCTGAGAATAGAGTGGAGGTGGATGGGGAGGAGTTGCTCAAGAGAAATGTACATGCTAATGCATCCAAAATGTTATGCAGGCTTTTCTTAAAATCACAAACTGATGTAGAATGAACCAGATGAAAAAATTATAAATATAACCATTGTTACAGTAATCCATTCCTCTCTTAGAGAAGTAGAAGGATTACTTGGTCAGTCAAATTCTCTCCAGTTGTCAATTTAAGTGATAAAGGAATAGTTTCATCGTGAGAGACTTTGGCCTGGTTCACAGGCAACATCAAACCAAAGAAGCCACAGAACTGTATGAATCCAACACCAGGGGAGATTTGGAAGGGCTGAATGCCTTTCTCTCCTGGAAAGATAGGTTATTTTGAAATCAGAACAAAACCATCCATGATTTGATCATGGATGGACCCTAGGTGGGGTGACATTAGTGTCACTGTGTAGGTTCCATTTCTCCCATCAGGGTTCTCTCTGGTGGGACAGGTAAGGTTAGGTATGGGTGGCCTTGTTGTGGCCCATAACAATTACAGCCTTCATTAAGATGCCTATGGAAAAATAATAATTATATTGAATATATAAAGTTGAGAGCTCTCAGGTTGATAGGAGTTAGCATACCATCCACCCTGTTATGTAATTGCTTGCCCAGTTGAGTCAATATAACTACTGTTGAAATCACATAAGTTTTTGATAGTGAGTAGTCTCAGTGACTCTTTGGGACTTGCTTGTCTCTTATAACCTGGGAATTCATAGCAGCCATGAAAACTGTGGGCTTTTCTCAGTGAATGTTAGGACTGTGGATCATATTGCTGATCACATGCTAGGTTTGGTCTTATGCCATCATGTGACATATCATGACTTTTTTTTCCTTTGTAGAGCTGGGGTGGGCATGGCCTGCATGTGACACATCCAGCCCGCAGGCCACCAGTTTGACACCCCTGCTATATGTTGGGAAATATCAGTGGCCATAAAGTAGATTAGCATGGAGAGAAGGGAAGGGAAACCCTAGCCCAGTCTGTTCTCTGTACACAATTAACTGCTTTTTCTCTATCAGGGGTACACAAACATTACCGTTCCCTGTTTTCCTGCACCCACAAGGCTGATAAAAGCAAATTTGAAATTCATTATGGAAGTGGTAGCCTTAAAGGATTCTTAAGCCAGGATGTCCTCAGGGTGAGTATTGGAAGCTGGCAGAATCTGGTTTTCAGAAATAATTAAGTTTAATGCTGGAAGGAAGGGATTAAGAAGGAAATACAAGGGCATATTTTTCCTTTCTTGAAGATAAATTCAGTTTTCTTTTGAATGAGATTTTTATACCATTTATTTTATATTCTCTTTCCCGTGCCAAGTCTCGGATCTCTAAGATGCAATCTAAGACAGAAGAAAATAGTTTCTCTTCAATTCTTAGATAACTGTTAATGAAGGCATATGAACTTTGGGAGCTGGACAAAGAAGCAGCTTTGGAATATTTGCAGGTTTTTTTTATTACACTAAATAAATATCATCAGCCTACAAATTCAAGCATCCTTAAGATACCAACTATTGCGAGACACTGGTGTGTTTGGCCAAAATGTGGACTCCAGCATCAATTTGGGGAGACCATAAAAAGTCTGCCCTTTTGACTTTTTGACCACCCCTTGTGGATATCTCTGCTTGTTTTCCAAAACACTGAAAACCATAACTCCTGATTGATGATGGATCAGATTGGTTATATTTAATAATAATGTAATTATCTGTATGTAATAAAAGGCAGGGATGTCTACCATGTGTGGTGAAAATAAGTTAAAATGGTGGTCATGAAAACTTGATTGAGACTTTTCCCATTTTATATGCATTGCAGTAAACTTTGACAAGTCATATAACTGGGTTAACCTATTATATGATACAGATAAAAACCAGGCAGTTTTTATTGCACTTGTGGTTCATAATATCTTATGGACATCCCCTGATAAATGAAACAGAAGACAAAATTCTGTGTATTTTCTTTCTCTTCAGATTGGTAACATCACCGTTAAGAACCAGACCTTTGCTGAGGCTACCGATTTGCCAGGCTTGGTTTTTGTGGCTGCCAAATTTGACGGTATCATGGGATTGGGTTATCCCTCCATCTCAGTAAACAACATCACCCCACCCTTTGATAACATGATGAAGGCAAAACTTCTGAAAAACAATGTCTTCTCATTCCAACTTTGCAAGTATGGACCTCTCTGCTATTGATATCACCTCCTCCCTGTTATTGACCAAAGTAGAAGACTTCCCAAGTCCCATCCCCTTTATGAGAGTTTGGGGAGGGGGTCCCTCCCTCATCCTCAGCAATTGGCATCCAACCTATATAGCCTTGTGCTATAACAGGGCTGTCAAACTCCTGGCCTGCGGGCTGGATGCGTCATATACTGGCCATGCCCACCCTCATTTTAGGGAAGGGGGGAAAAGTCCCACTACATCACGTGATATTGCCATGACGACTTAAGTTTGACACCCCTGTGCTATAGGCAACATTCTCTGCTCTTTCTGAAAAACCTCAGCCTTAAGTTCAGTAGGGTGTAAAATGACTGATTAAAATAAATTAAACTTAAAGTCACATCAAACTAGTAGCTCAGAACTGGTTCTCTCTTTTTCCCTCAGCCTCTGCCTCCCCTTCCATCTTCCTTCCTCCTTCCTTCCTTCTTTCCTTCCTTCCTTCCGTCCTTCCTTCCTGCCTGCCTGCTCGCTTGCCTTCCCCTCCTCTTTCCTTCCTTTCTCCCTTCCTTCCCTCCTTCCTTTCTGCATAAAGATCAAGATGAAGTTCCTGACCTAGTGCCTTCCTGATGTGTTGGAATACACCACCTATCATTCCTATCCAGGAGGGTAGTTTGTTTTGTAACAGGTTTAATAGTTTACTTCCAACTGACTCACCAAGAGCAATGCAGGATTTCAAAACATCTGGTAGTACACAATTATCAGCTGTTGAATAGAATGTGAGCATTACCATATTATATAGAGTAGCAGACAACATATTTTACATACAAGTGAGATGTTGAGCATCTCCATTCATTCTTAACTGTCTCCCTTCAAATGTTGGGTCATTCCTCTAGTCTCTTCGCTTCGCCTTATGAAGTCTTCTGCTACTGAGACCTTCCTTTTGCAGTGGACTGTTTCAGTTACCAAATTAACCCCCCCACCGCTTCCACTCCTAGTCAAGAGGCAGGCTGTATGTGGATGTGAGAAGTAGTCCTTGACTTATGATAATGGAACCTGTGCATTACAATTGTGTGCCATGATGGTTATAAAACAGGTCATCACATAACCAGACTCATGTTTAAAATCTTTTTTTGCAGGAGTCCTTAAGCTAATGTGGTAAAGCAAATACTGTGGTCATAAAGCAAACACCTCAATTATAAAGCAAACCCATTGTTCACTATGGGCCATTTTTGCCGAAAACTGGAAACCAGTTTTCAGCAAAACATCATAAATGGCCATGTTGCAAATGGCCATAAATACTGGATGGTTGCCAAGCACCTGACATGTGGTCATGTGACTATGGGGAGGGGGCAGGCCCAGCTATTGGAACTGTTGGAGCCAGGTTGTAAATATCTTTTTGGGGGAGAGGGGAATCTATCATATAACTTTGAACAATCATTAAGCAATTGATTATTAGTTGAGGACTACCTGTCGTGGGAATTGTACTTCAGGCAAGAAAATATTGTTACCAGCCTTCCAGTAGCCAGTCTTTCAGCCATCAGCCCTGGAGGACTATGCTGTGGCCTGCTAGCGGCCAGATTCGGACATTGAGGAAGTTGGGGAGGAACATGGGCCAGTCCTGGAATTTGGGGAGGGCTCTGATGTGGGCTCTGTGTCAAAGGCAGAGAGGGGACCAGGGCCATATGCCAGTTATCAGCTATCTTCAGAGTCAGACATCAGTGAGGCAGACGAACAGCTGGAGCCTGTTCCCAGTGTGCACATACACAGAGTTGCCAGGTGAAGGGAACAGCTAAAAGACAAGGGTTGACTTGGGAGTAAGGCCACAGGTGGACAATGAATGGGCCCTCCCAGAGAAAATAAAAGAGGAGTGAAAGAAGAGTGGAGTTTGCAGGAGACATTTAGTTCACTTAATTGGCTCATGACTTTCCGAGACTCCTTGCAGATATCCACCTGTCAGCTTTCTAAGCCAGGTAAGGTCTGTGACTGTAAGTCCTCCTTTGAAAGACTTTGCTGGATGTGAATGAGCAGAATTCACAGTAAATTAATAAAATTTGTTGGGACCAGGAGTTTGCTTCATGCTCTTGGGAAGCCTCAGTCAGAACAGATTACTCCCCATGTTTCTTGGCCTGAGTCCTCTCTCCAACTGGCCAGTCCTGTTGATTTCTTTCCTGATCCACCTCTCTGATGGTGGATCCACAGCAAGGACACACTCTTGTATTTTCCCAGAGTATCCAGGGACAGGGGTCAAAAATGTCAAGATGGAGGCTGCCAGTCTGTAGCCAAAGCTACCCCCCACCCCCATTTTATTATTACCTGTTGTTTGTGCAATGTAAATTAAAAGAGCAAGGCTTCATTGTGAGGTCCTGGCTACCATCTTAACTTATTTTGACCCTTCTGGCAGAACTGAGAGTAATCTTTCTGATTACAGGTAGAATTACAACCTTCATTTAGCAACTGTTCAAAATTTCAATGGCATTGAAAAAAGGGCTTATGGAGATTCTCAATCATCTAGGTCATGGTTGTCCCAAAGGTGCTTTTTCAAGAGGCAGTTAGACTTTGGGGTTTTTCTTTTTTTTAAACAGCTGAAGAAGCTTCTTGGATGAGAAATAAAACCAGTTGCCTCTTGAAAAAGCACCTTTGGCACTGGAAGAAAGCAACTTGCCATTAGTTCTCCCTTTTACAACTATTGCAGCAGCTGCCATTTATGTATAACTGTTGCAAAATCCCAGGCTCAGGTTGTGACTTTTCCAGCTGACTTCTGACAAGCAAAGGCTATGGGATAGCTGGAATCACTTAAGGGCTGCATAATTCATTTAATAACTGCAGTGATTCACCTAATTGTGGCAAAAATGTCATAAATTCAGGTGCGATTCATTTAACAACTGCCTTGCTTAGCAATGGACATTCTGGTCCCAATTGTGGTCATAAGTCAAGGACTACCCATACTTGATTTTTCTTTCTTTCTCGTGTTTTCCCAGAAGTTCAGTGTCCATACATTTTTGGCTGAAGCAAGTATCGATCTTATCTCTGATTCCTTCTTATTGCCTCAGGTTGTTTCACTGCCTAATCACTTTCTTTGTTTTTTTCTCTTCCAGAATCCATTTTTGTAGCCCAGGTCTTAGATTAGTACACCAGTGCCCTCTTTGCACTCACAACTCCACACTTTTTTATATGCTTTTCAAAGTCTACATTTCCATATCTTCCTATGACTTTCCCCTCCTGTTGGATTGTCCTTGTAGACTTCACTTTGTCTGCCGAGAACCTCTTTTTCTCCTCTTGTGACCCACTGGAGTTTTTGCTCCTGTTTACCTCTACATCTTCTTTTTTCCCCCCTCTTCTGGATCCAATTAATTATATAAAACCTGAGTGTTAGGGGATTGAGCAGCCGGTGTCTGAACAGAGTCAGAGATGCTGACATGAACTTGTAGTTTTTATATAAATAAATATAATTTACAATTTATATTTACAGCAGACAAGATAGTCAGGCACATCGCTACATCATGAGGTAAATCAGAGAACAGCATACAGAACACACAGAAGAAAAAGGCGGGAAAAAAGGGAAACACCCTCTTTATACCCAGCAACCAATCGTAACATAGATTGCCTCACGTAGGAACCCACACTCTCCAATCAATCAACTATTGCTGTGTGTTCTGGGCCATTATGCACTTTACTGTTCCAGCTATTAAATTTAATATCTTAACACTAGGCAATCACATTCCTAACATCCAGTTATTCCTTTGGCAAATTCCTACCAATTTGCAACAACTACAATCATTTCCTCAAACTTTGGTGGCGCTTCCTGAGTTACACTTACTAGGAATAAGTACATCCACCTATTCAATAAAAATTAAATGTCAAAAATATGGGATTGAATTGTATTTAACAGTTAATAGCCTATGTAAAATGATCAGGTTTATGTTTTCTGTTTGGCTTCCTGAAGTATAGCCGTATTCTCAAGAAAAATTTGGGAACAAGGTAGTTTATCAAGACAACTCTCCAAAACCCTAATACTTTTTAAAATTTGGTTTCTGGGTTCTTGAATATCTCAAACAATTAGTTTAACCATTCTACACTTTTCCAGTTCTCAACCTTGGCAACTTTGTGGGCTTTGACTCCCATAATTCCTCAGCCAATATGCTACCTTGGGGATTCTGGGAGTCAAAGTGAACACATCTTAAAGTTGCCATGGTTAAGAAATTGGCTTACAACATTATTCTTTGCACATTATACAATCTCCATTTCCCACAAATCTTTGTATTGGGTTTAGTTGGTTACCACTAAAAACCACATATATAAAGAAAAATTATCAGGAAATCTAAAAGAAATTACTATACTCCCTCCCTATATGATTTTCTTTCTGCTTTTGACCCCCAGATACCACACTGTAATGTAGATAAGAAGCTTTGAGGAAATGATTGTAGTTGTTCAATAAGAGCCTTTTGGAAACACTAGATCAGTGTCTTTGAACATTGGTAATTTTAAGATACCTGGACTTCAAATCCCAGAATTCCTTAGCCAGCATGCTCACTGAGGAATTCTGGGACTTGAAGCCCACACATTTTAAAGTTGCTAAGGATTCAATTTTGGGAGTTGAAATCCACATATGTTAAAAGTTGCCAAGATTGAGAAATGTTGCCCTAGAACTTGAAGTATATAACGTGAAAAAGGAGTGGAGTAAAAATGGACAGAAGGAAAGAAAGCAAACTTCCCTTGTAGTACAACAAAACCAAGCCTACTCAGAAATAGGAATAGTGCCAATTCAACAGGAACCTGTTTTGGCTTATTATGCAAACTGATCCTGTTTCTCATCATCATCTCACTAGATGGTATTGATCAAGGGCTACGTGCAACATTTGGATTTAATCTTGAAATCTATGGAATAAGAATCAATAGGGTTGTCCTGAATGGCTATGTGATTGTTCCTCTGCCAGAATAATAGTGTGTGTGTGTGAGTGTGTGTGTATGGAAAAATAGCATTCAAGATAAGAACTAATCTTTGTAAACTCCTGGTTCTTGGTGGCAAAATTAAGCATGCGTTACCTTGATTGAATGGTTAGTACTTTTTTGCCTGTATTTAAACTTTTATTTTTAAACTGGAAGGCAATTTTCTTTGGAATTGCCAATGAATGCAGGGAGGCTGGGTTTAATGCTTCCTTTCCCTAATGAAAAGGTCTCTCTTCAGCTAATGTAATAATTGACCTTGTGGGGAAAGAAATGACACTTCCACTGGATTTTTTTCCTCACAATGTTCGGGTGAAGAATTATCTCTTTATCACCATCTAGTGGCTGTGTGATGTTGTACAACCTGGGTATGGTGGTTCTAACTAGAATATTGAGGGGGAAGAACAGTATTTTTCAAACTTAAGTCACTTTAAGATGAATTCCTCAGGCAGTGTAGGTGAATGGAATATTGGAGGTGGGGTGTGTGGGTGGCTGGGTAGCCATAATAGAATTAACACAGGCACCTAAAGTCTTAGTAAAGATAAACTAAAAAAACAGGAAAGCCAATTGCTAGATTGGGCTTCTAATTGTTGTCCTGATTTATATTCCTATGCCCTAGGCACTAGACACACTTAAAACAGATCCTGGGTGCAGCTTATAATACAATAAGGAAAACATGCCCTGTGTACCCTAATTACTTTTCTCTGCAACCATTAAAACCTGAAGACCTTTAGCCATCTTGGAAATGTGAACTTTCATGAAGTAAATTACACTGGGGCTTAAAACAGCTGTTTTAACTTTTGTAACATTTCTCTTAGCTCCAACAAGACCTCACAACAAGACAATGGAGGTGAAATTATTTTTGGAGGCATCAACCACAACGCCTATGTGGGAAAGCTTCACTACATCCCAGTGTCACGCAAAGCCTACTGGCAGATCAAGATGGACAAGTGAGTACACCTTTAGATCCCCCATACTGGATTGCCACACATGTGAGGAATTATGATTTTGTAGACACATATAAACCTCAGAGTGTATCTGCTTAGAGAAAATGAGAGGTATCCTCAACTTACCATCACAACTGAGCCCAAAATTTCCATTGCTAGGCAAGACAGTTGTTAAGTGAGTCACATCCCATTTTATGACCTCTTTTGTTGATTCAGTTGTTAAGAGAATCACTGCAATTAAGTGAATGACACTCCCACAACACTGTATCATCATAAATACATGCTATTTGTTAAATGCACAAATTATGATCAGTGACTATGGAGATGTTGCAATGGTCACAATTATGAGAGCTGGTCATAATCACTTTTGTCAATATCAATGTAACTTCGAACAATCGCCAATAAACAAATGATTGTAAATTGTGGACTATCTGTAAGTACCCAATCACTGCTGCCAGCTGAGTTTAGCTGCTTGCAATGACACCCCTCAACACTAGAGGGCAATGCTGTAGTATTTTTAAAAATGACATTCAGGTCTACTATTCTTTATTATGCTATTATTGTTTTCTTTTTTCTTTTCTTTACTTGTCCTACGTGATATTCCTGCAAGAGCTTAAAGGCATCAGTAAGACAAGCAGTCCCCTGCAGCTTTCTCCTGTGATCACTAAACACATTTTCCCCCAAACTAGTGTGGACTGCATGGCCAATCTGGGCTGATGGGTATTGTAGTCTAATAGACCTGGAAAGCACCAGATTGATAATGACAGCATAGAAAAAGGCAGACTAGATAGAGCAGCTTCCCTCAGCATAACTGTCCCTCAGATGTACGGACTGAATTCCATAAACCTTCTATCAGCATAGCTGCTGCTTAGAATTCTGGGTAACATTTTATCTTCCTGAAGGACACCAAGATTGGGTGAAAATGTGCAGATGGTGTATGAAAGATAAAATTTTACCCAGGAATGTACATCCTGCCTTAGTACAACCTCTGTTTTGGCTTTAACAGACGTATAAGAGATTCATTGGGAACTCTGGGTAGAAACCATTATTTATTAGATTTTTATCCCACCTTTTTATGTAATAAAAGTAATGCAAGGCGACAACATGTATAATGCTCCTTCTTCCTCCTATTTAGTCAGCAATAACAACCCTGTGAAGTGCGTTGGACTGAGAGGGGATCACTGGCTCAGCCAGTTTTCATGCTTAAAATTAGACTAGAATTCACAGTCTCCTGGTTTCTAGCCTGGTGCCTTAACCACTAGATTAAACTGACTCTTTTATAGCCCATATGTAGAAAAGACAGACTCTCTTTCACTTTCCCTGTTACACCTCACTCAATATACTTCTTCCCCCACCAAAAAAAAAATGCTTTGGTCATCGTTACTAACAGAGGCCAGGGATGTCAATCATCTGGCCTACATTGGGCACAGTTATTTTTTCTCCCCAAGGCAACTGCCAGTCCTGTCCTCTGTTCCTTCTCCCCAAATATTAATGATGTTAATGAAAGAAAATTGCTGCCATTGATCTTTCTTGGCTGGCTCACTCCATGTTTATGTTAATCACTTAATTTGAACAATCAAATTTTAAATTTTAAAAAAGGTCAGTTTGCAATGACCCAGCTCCAGGCTTTAAAAAGCCAGGATTCTATGAATGCCTTCTCAAACTGCAGATAATGTGGTCAGTTTGCATTTGGATTTATCTGAGGGCTAATCCAATGTGATTCCAGGGCATAAAAATTTACCATTTCAACAAGGAGTTGAGCTACATCCTCTTCCCTAATACACAGATGTATGCAGGATGAAAATAGTGGTTGGTTTTGGAATAAAGCAGCAGACAGTCAGACAATGTTCCTATCACACTCTAAAAGTGGCACAGTCCAGATACAGATGCTCCAAGAACTTTAACCATTCATTTAACAACCATGCAAAGTTATGACACTGAAAAAAGTGATGTGCAACTGGACCTCACAACTACAGTGGTTACACATGATCAAAATAAGGACACTTTGCAACCATGAAGTATTTACAAAGATTACTGCATTCTGGAGTTGTCATTTGTTGTCATTTTCCAGGGGGCTTTCAACAAAGTCAGTATTACTTAGCAACCACAGTGATTCTCTTAATGACTGTGGCAAAAGGCCATAATATGAGGTGCAATTCACATGACCACCAATCCCAATTGAGACAAAGATGATCTGTTCCCCCATGTTCTCCGCTGTGACAAGAGAACTGGAAGAAGTTGCTGGGTGCAAACCCTTCAAACTGCATATCCTCCCTGCCTCTAATGTTCTGGCACTTTCTCTTACCTCCCACTGAGCCTTCTTCCCCAATCTAAACCAATTTTCTGTCCTTTTCCAAATACTCTGTTTAGGATAACCATAGAGAAACAACGCAAGGAGAATACATGTTGGCCATGGAACGTGCTTGAAACTACCAACTCATCCACCCTCTGCAAGGACAGTTGCCAAGGCATTGTGGACACCGGGACCTCTCTCATTACGGGACCCAGCGAGGACATAAAGGCTCTGAATGAAATTATTGGTGCTCAACATGCTTTCGGTGGACAGGTAAGGAAGATATTTTCCTTTGAGGAAGCATCCTAGAACGAGCACATCTGGGTTGCAGATCCCCAGATGACCACTAGACAGCAGCAAGTGAGTGTCACAAGGAGCAACAATTTACTGTCACCTTTCAATTTTTTGTAATTCAGATCTGATCATATTAGCCTTCATTTCATTATTTTAGCAGGCAGCTTTTGGGGACCAATAATGGATAATCTCTCAAAATAGTTACTGTATCTTGGCTCTTCCCTAAATGGCATATTGCAGAAGGTTCCCCTCCTGCCACCCTTTTTAGGGTTCAAAAATCCAATTCCACAGCTCATTTTGGAACAGCATGCGGCAAACAATGCCCCAACTACTGCCCAAAAGGATTCTTGGAAATAATGGTGATGTTAGTGATGTATCTCAGCCTTAGCAATTTTAAGACATATGGACTTCATCTCCTAGAATTTCCCAGCCAGCACACATCCACACATCTTAAAATTGCCATGAATGAGAAACACTATGCTAGAGGTAGGTATTTTTTCTTCACAGTACATCTGCTACTGGTTTATATAATTTCATTAAAATATTTAAAAATAAAAGTCAGATAGATGGAAAGCTCCTTCCACCCCAGAAAGTGCTTGAGATAATGAGGCCCAAGAGTAGCACATTTACCCATTGCAGACTTTGCATTTTAGCCAACATGCCAATGTCAGACTGACATTCCTTTTCATTCTAGAACAAACACGAAACATGGCACAGAATGGAACAATCAGAACAAGTGCCATTTTCAGGGGCTGAGGCCAAACTCATCTTTTATTCAAACTTAGCGGGTCTGCAAATGCATCTGTGCAGTCTAATAGCAGTCAAACATTAACCTTTAACGTGGTACTGAGATGAATCCTGGGGGGTGGGGGAGGTATTCACTGTCTGCTTCCTTCTACAGTGGTACCTTGGTACTCATTGTTAATTAGTTCTAGGAGGCGTGATGAGTATCAAAAAAGATGAGTATCAAATAAATTTTCCCATAAGGAATAATATAGTGAGTCACAAAGCAGCTGTCACTGACAAGTGCTAGTTTGTGCATTGAGTACCGAACAAACAATGAGTACCAAGAAATAATTTTCATGTCAAAATACACCGTACCATTTCAATACAATTCAATTCAAAATAAACTAGGAAAGGACCTTTGAGGTCTTCTAGTCCAATCTCCAACTCAAGAAGGAGACTCTATACATTTCAAAAAAATGGCTGTCCAATCCCTTCTTAAAAACCTCCAGTAGTGAAACATCCACAACTTCTGATGGCAAGCTGTTCCACTGGTTAATTGCCTTAACTGTTGGGAAGTTTCTTCTTAATTCCAGGTTGCTTCTCTCCTTAATTAGTTTCCATCCATTGTTTCTTGTCCTGTCCTCTGGTGCTTTGGAAAATAAGTTGACTCCCCTCCTCTTTGTAGTAGTCTCTCAAATACTGGAATACTGCTATCATGTCACTCCTAGTCCTTTTCTGTAGACTAATCAAACTCAAATCCTGCAACCATTCTTCATATGTTTTAATATCCAGGCCTTTAAATATCTTATTTGTTCTTCTCTCAACTTTTTTCAAAATCTCAACATCTTTTTTGTAATGTGGAGGCCAACAATGGGGGGGGGCAGTATTCCAGGTGTGGCCTTACTAAGGTTTTACAAAGCAGTTCTAATACATCACGTGATATTGATTCTATGTCTCTGTTAATACAACCAAGGATTGTATTAGCTTTTTTGGCTGCCACTGCACACTGCTGGCTCATGTTTATGTGGTCATCCAATTCGATTGTCCAATTCAAAGCAGTTGAGTACCAAGGTCTTCCACTCCTCCATGAAGCTCCATCAATATAGCACTGCTATTTTCAATACTGAAGCTTTGAGTGGAAAGCTTGCAAAGCTAAAACTTTCCACTCTTCAAGATGAAGTGATGGAGGAGGTTTGTGATTGCAGCCATAGAAAAAATATTGGGGGGAAATGTTGAAATGGGACTTCATAAACTCTATACAGATAGTCCTCAACTTATGAATAGCCGTTTAGCGACCATTCACAATTATGATGATACAAGATACTTATGACCTGGATTCAAAATTCTGATAGCTGCCCATCTCTTCTCCATGCATTTATAGCAGCCTAAGGTCACATGACTGCGATTTATGACTTCTTTTTTTTTTGCTGGAATCTGGCATGTGCTTCCAATTCCTGACAAAAACACTCATTGTGGACAAGACACCATGCAGGATTCCCTTTCAAAGGAATTTCGTTGAAGTTGCAAAGAGGTCTACAAGAGGTATTGAAATGGACTCAATGGCCTGAAGTCATTGCTTTTTGATGTTCCCTCTCCTGCCAGCAGCAAAGTCACTGCATGCTGGCATTATGTCACCTGCTGAATTTTGCTGGATTTGACAGGGAAAAGAAAAACCAAGAAACAAGATTGTTGTGTTCAACAGTGACAGTTTTTTCCCACCTGTCTCAGGCGGCGAGTGTGATGAGAATCAGCAAGCGGTTGGCCCAGGAGAAGCAGGGGAGGGGGGGGGGGAACCCAACACTTTTGTATAAGCGTGAGAGTGATATCAAACCTTTACTTCTTCTTCATCCCTGTCTCCCTTTCCTTCTCCTAGTACATAATAGATTGCCAGAAATTATCTGAGATGCCCAGTATCACTTTTCATCTGGATGGCAGACCCTACACCCTGACCCCCGAAGATTATACTCTTCAGGTGAGATAAGCCAATGAAATCCACACGAGAAAATGGGATAGCTGGGGGGATGGGATTCTTAATACACAGCCGGAAAGCCTTATTTTCTTGGGTTCATTTTTCTGAACCCAATGAGCGGTTTAATTCAATTTACACTGAAATTTATTATTTATTTAGAGCATGACATATCATATATGGACTAGCACTATATATTAACATTATAAATTACCTATGAAGGATTGGAATTCTACCAGTTCGGACCAGTTCAGGTGAACTGGTAGCTCTGACTGTTAGCTGGGGGCAAACCGGTTTGCCCCGACTTTCACCTGGGCCCACCTGCCTGCCCCTGAGCTATACTCACCTATATTCCCTTTTCTGAAGCCCAGCTGATAGACACGGCAGAGTGGATTGCTGTGCCTCAGCTGTTTTCCTTCCCAGCAGTAATGCGGAAGATGATTTCTCTGTAAACTACACACCCACACGTAGAGAACCAGTTGTTAAACTCATAGGATCCCATCCTTGCACCTAGATTAATAAAACACAATAAAATATAAATGTTAAAAAGGTCTATGTTCAGTCTCTAGGCCATCCAAGCACTGAAATGCAGCATCGTTTCTATTTTTAAAAAATCAGATATTGGACAGTATACAGGTAGTGTTCGACTTACGACCATCACTGAGCCCCAAATTTCTGTTAAGTGAGACTTTGGTTAAGTGAGTTTTGCACCTTTTAATGACCTTTCCTGCCACAGTTCTTAAATGAATCATTGTAGTTGATAAGTTAATAACCCCATTGTTAAGTGAATTTGGTTTCCCCCTTGGCATTGCTTATCAGTGGGCCACAAAAGGGGATCACATGACCTTGGGACATAGCAACGGTCATAAGTATGAACCAGTTGCCAAACACCTGAGTTTTGATCACATGATCATGGAGTTGCTACAAAGATCGTAAGTGTATGAAAAATGGTCATAAGTCACATTTTTCAGTGCTGTTATAACTTTGAACAATCACTAAAAGAACTGTGGTAAGATCTGTGGAAAATATTAGAATGTGCAGAAATGAATAGAGTAACATTAGCAATTAAGGAGAAAGAACAAACTGATTATTATATGATATGGGAAGTGTTTTATCAATGGTTAGAAAATAAAAAAGGAAATTGGAAATAAAAGGCAAAAAGAAGAATAGAAACTATATCAAGATTGAGATAAGAATAAAATGACAATTGTTACCCTGTTTCCCTGAAAATAAGACCTCCCCAAAATAAGACCTCGTCCCTGAAAATATTGCAACATAGCAGCGGCTATGAGGTGACCACACTCGCCACCTCCTGCACCTCAAAAATAATACTTCCCCGAAAATAAGTCCAAGAGTTTATTTTGGGTGTCAAAAGAAAATAAGACCCTGTCTTATTTTCAGGGAAACATGGTGGTATTAGTATGATGAGAATAACTATGTTTAATGTTATTATTATTTTTATTAGAAGATATGTTAAGAAGGAAATGAAGAGCTTTACAAAGTTTAACTATTCAATGTATTATAATCTATGAAAGGATGTTGCACAGAAATGTTTGTACCCAGGTGATGCACTGCTTGAGGAAAGATGGAATGTTTATATTTTTAAAATTGAAAAATAAAAAACTTTTTTTTTTTAAAAAAAGACCAAGGAGCGTATAGTGGACTATAGAAGGAACAAATCAGACATCCAGCCCTTGCTTATCAATGGAGACCCAGTGGAGCAAGAGGCCAGTTTTAAGTTTCTGGGTGTTATCATAAAAGAGGACCTGTTCTGGGGTGCTCACATTGCAGCACTGGTCAAAAGGGCCCAGCAGAGATTATACTACCTGAGACTTCTCAGGAAACAGCAACTGAATGAAAAACTGCTGGTGGCCTTCTACCGCTGCACCATAGAGAGTATTTTAACTTACTGCACCTGTGTATGGTTTGCAATTGCACAGTGGCAGATAGGAAGTGCTCCAGAAGGTTAACGTCATTGCCTAGAGGGTCATTGGTTGCCCTCTCCCCTCTTTGGAAGAGCTTTATGGCTCCCACTGCCTTAAGAAAGTTCAAAACATTCTTAAAGATCCATCTCATCTTGGGCACCCATTTTTTTTGAACTATTACCATCTGGCAGACGGTACAGGATAATTAGAAACAAGGACAAATTGTCTGAAAAACAGCTTCTATCCCAGGGCAATAACTATATTGAATTCTACTGTATAGTGCAATATTAATGCAATATCAGGTTTTCAATTTTAATTATATAGAATGTGAAGGATGTGTGTTTGTGTTTTATTTTTTATAATTATAATGTACACTGAAGATGGCATTTAATTTTGTTGTACGATGTACAATGACAATAAAGTAAACTAAACTAAATACATACATGTTTCCAAGAAATATTTACCCCAGCACAACTTTCCCAGTCTAGAAGAGTTGGATCCCAATCATGGGGCCAAAGTTTGTCAGTGGGGCCTCACTGGATGTGACCATCTGCCCCCAAAGTTGAAAGTTCAATTGTTGACATCTTTGATTACGAATGGTGCAAGACGTTGAGGAGTGGAAAAAATCTCTAAATTCTTGTTAGACAGAATAACCCATATTATGCTAGCAGGAAAAAAGGATATTCTGTTCTTCAGCTGTCATGGATCAGTGAGAGCACTTGTTGTGCTCAGGGGAAAGACGTGCAGTGATGAAAATGTGAAACCTTGAGGTTCATAAGCTCATCATTCAGGTGTCTCCTTTCTTCCACAGGTGAGACAGGCAAAGGTGACTGCTTGCATCAGTGGATTCATGACCCTCGACATCCCAAAGCCCACAGGACCACTCTGGATCCTGGGAGATGTTTTCCTCAGACGATACTACTCAGTCTTTGACCGAGACAATGACCGAGTTGGCTTAGCTGTTTCTAAACAATCTTCATGTGGTTCTGATGGGAAAGATTAAACATCACAGCTGCAGCAGAAAATTCTACTGTCCTCAGAGTGGTCAGAAAATAGTAGCTATCATTTGTTTCATGGCCTTAAGAAGCTCTGCAAGGATTTATTTTCTTACCAGTATATTCATGGTGTCTGCAGTCACCATACTTCAATTCCATTTTTAAAACACAAGAACAAGTTTCCAGACATGATGATGGTGGTGTTGAACCATTATGTTTCCAAACTCCAACCTGGAAATTCTCCTATTAGTTCCTAATGTATTGCTGAATCCAGAAATTAGCTGCCACTGACTTCGCCCTCCTCCTCCTCCTCCTCCTCCTCCTCCTCCTCTTTCTTCCTGGCCCTCTGCTTTTTGTTTCATGCATAACTTGATGTTACACATGCCAATTCATAAGTAATTCTTTAGAGTCTTACCCCAAAGTTAGAGATCATAGGATTTCATCCTATGGAGTCTTTCTCCCTCTACTAAATATCAGAGAATTCAGGCATAATAAAGATAGAAAAGGGGAGGGGTTAGAAAAAAGAGGGAGATAGAAGCCAAGGTTGCCTCATTTCTTGCAAACTAGATTTCTGGATTACAGCCCTAATGTAAAAGAAAAAAAAGCCAGATAACTCAGCTATTTATAAGATACTACAGATAGTCCTCAACTTACAACTTCAATTGAGCACATAATTTTGGTTGTTAAGAACATTTGTTAAGTGAATCTGGCTTCCCCATTGACTTTGCTTGTCAGAAGCTCGCAAAAGGTGATCACATGATCCCAGGAAACTGCAACTGTCATAAATATGAACCAGTTGCCAAGCATCTGAATTTTGATCATGTGACCATGGCGATGCTGCAATGATTGTAAGTGTGAAAAATGGTCATTAGTTGTAACTTTGAATAGTCATTAAAAGTACTGTTGTAAGTCCAGGACTCACCTGTACAAGGACTCTTCCCTTGGGCAGGGGTTTAAACTAGAAGATCTCCAAGGTCCCTTCCAACCTCAACGATTTTATGTATTTGAAATGAAATAACTCCTCTGAGCTATAAGTTTAGAGAAAACTTGTTTTGCATATGGGTGGCGTTCGTTTCAGTCCTAACTCTCCCTTTAAGAAAAATCTCTGTAGCAGAGCAGGAAAAGTCCTTTTTCCCCTGAGAAAAGTCAATAATGAAATAGATTGTTCATTAGGCAGCTGTGTTCATTTGGCTGGGAGCATAGCTCAGTGGAAGAGTTATGACCTTGGCATGCAAAAGCTTCTGGGTACAACCTCCTAATATCTTCAGGGAAGGTTGGAAGATTCAGGCCTCAGAGAACCTCTCCCACTGTGCTGCTGAGCTACAAAACCAATGTTTGATGGCAGCTTCCTAACATGTACAAATGATATTGTCAAGTCACCTTTCTTTAGCTTCCTTCCTATTTGGTCACCGGGATAATAGCTAGAAACAGCCACCTAGAGTCGCTTTTGATAGTGAGATGGGTGGCATATACATTTAATAAATAAAATAATATAAACAATGCCGTGAGGCAGGCTGGAAGAATAATGAGAGAAGATCAGCTGAAGTCAAAATAATAACATGCCTAATATGTCTGATGTTTTTCCAGTTTAATCAGCCATCAGTTGCTATTCCAATGGTTTGGGGCCTGTTAGCCAAACGATTAAAAGACAGAGCTAAAATTGAATTGCATCTTCATAACTTTACTTACATTTATTTAAGTTAAAGGACTTTGAGACATGACTTTAAAAGAAATAAAATAAATCAATAACCAACTGAGCATTTCAAGGAAAAGGCCAGATATTTTCACAACAAGGTCAATTCACTTTCCTCTATCATAGATTTTTGACTATTCTGACTGACAATCAAAGGTTTTTCTTACTTGATGCTTTTGTGTTCAAATGGATAGCCTTCAGTTGGTGATCCTCCAGCAATAGGGAGTGGATTAGGTGGCCTTTGTGTCACATCTTACTCGCATTATTAAAGAGGCATGTTTCTACTACTACTGTACTAATAATATACTGTTCTACATTCTTCTTTGATTTATGCAAATAAACGTGTATCTAATGCTTCATTTTTTTCTGATTCCATTAGTTGCATCAAAAGATAAGGAATTAAATAAGCCCACAAAATCATTTCTCCCTTCCTATCAAATAGAAATCTAATGCCATGTCAAATTTCTAATATTTCCATGGGGATTACATGTATAGTTTGTTTTTGCACCCGTGAGAGACAGAAATGTTTGCTTTAAAATGAAGTAACGTGCATTCATAGGAAACAGAATTATTCACTCAACCCAGCTGCATTTGAATGGAGTCCTGGGATCTCCACTGTCCTGATATTCACTTTTATGTCATCTGTTATGTGGAATAAAACATTTAACGCTTTTACTGGTGTCTTGTTGAGTTTGCAATCATAAGAGTATAATAAAACTGATCAGAGATATATAATCGATTTTTAGTTCAATAACTTTAAGAAATGGCAACCTCCATTGCCTCTATGATTTGCTTACTATCGATCAATATTACTATAGGTAATAAAGAATCTTGCAATGTTAAAATCAGTGTTTCTCAACTTTGGCAAGATGTGTGGACTTCAGCTTCTAGAATTCTCTAGCATATTGGTGAGGGAATTCTGGGATTTGAAGTCAATTGCTTAGAGTACCTAAAGTTGAGAAACACTTATTTAAAGGATTCCTACCTTAGATGAATTCCACAACTTAGATTCCCACAGACCTTCCCAATTGTTACTGGGACATGACAGAACTGTTGTGTTGTTTGCATGGAGGTGAAATGGATGTGATGCTATTGGACTATATTGTTGCTATTTGTTCAATGCTTTATTGGTTTTTTTAAAAACAAAGTTTACTTAATTTCAAAGACAATTAAAATACAAAGTAACAAATACAAAAAGGTTAAAAAAGGACAAAGGGATTAAAGAGAAAAAAGTTAAAAAGAAGAAAAAAGGGTGGAAAGAGGTACAAAAAAGTGACTTCTGACTTCAATACAGATATAAGTATATAATAAAATAACCACTTACTCTAAATTAAAATAAAAACACTGTATAAACAACATACAAACCAAATAATCGCCAAAACACAAAAAGTACACATATAACTTCTGTTTAAACATAAACATTAAAAATATACATCTAGTAATAATAATAATAAAAATGCCCCATATTTTATATGATTATAACAAATCTAACCATCGCATTCTGAAACCAAAACTTCATTTTTATCTCACTCAACCAAGACGTGATCTCCTAGTAGAAACAAACCTAGAAAAACTTTTGTCTTTCATCAAAGTAGTCAATTCTGCCATCTCTGCCAGTTCCATTAGTTTCATGACCCACTCTTCAGGTGTGAGAATTTGGGTATCTTTCCAACTCTGTGCATATAAAAATCCTGCTGCCTCTATCATGTATAAACACAAACACTTATTTTTCTTTCAATCAGCTTACCTGTGATACCTAGGCTTAAAAAGAAAATGTCTGGTTTCAATTTAAATGTTTTATTTTTGGTATCAAATATTCTAAATGAAACTTAGCTGAAGTTATCTGGAGACATGTTTTTATTCTTCAGGAAAAGGGCTTGTAGACTTCCAAAAATTTGATGGATGATAGAAATGTAGAGCATTTTCCCCCATTACTCCAGTAGTGCTATGTTGAAAAAACAATATCTGGTTGAACAAAAACTTTGCCTTTATTTTATCCTACTATTGTTTGTAGATGAGAGGAGTGTTCCTTTACCTTTATCTGTAATTTTATAATTATTTTATTTCTGATGATCTGCTGAGGTTTATTTATGGCAATATGATAGATATATATTCTCTTCAGAAATTAATTTGGTTTGGTTTGGTTTATTAGATTTATATGCCGCCCTTCTCCCAAGGACTCAGGGTGGCGTACAACATTAAAAGAAA